ATCAGCCCAGAGGTTATTTCAGGTTTGATCTGTGAGTTTGCTGTTCCCTGACTTAAATCAGACCTGAGGTTGTTTCAGGGTTTGATCTGTGAGTTTGCCGATCTCTGACTTAAATCAGACCTGAGATTGTTTCAGGGTATAATCTTTGAGATAGCATTGCCCTGACTTAGATCAACCCTGGGGTTATTTCAAGTTTCCATAAAATTTGAAAGATTTGGGCATTGTAGTTTTGTTGCTTGCTGACGACGCAGATTGTTCTATAAAATAGGTCGTACATTTCATCCCCTTGGGATTAGTACTTTACAGACGCATTGCATTTGGTGCTCTGGGATACCTGTGCTGTGGATTTGTTAAATTAGTTTTCTCTAAACTTTTTTTTCATATTTATTACAGTCATACTGGTAATGTCAGGATTCTTGAAGTCAATCCTGATGGGAATTATGTGCGGCTCTTCAATACCTCAGCGCATCGGGTAAGTTAATGCAACACTTCACCTTTCACAACTGTGAGTCCAACGGACTAGGTGGCTGGCTCAAGCCCTGCGGCCGTCACATGTGAATTGAGTTTGTTTGATGTGTTGTTCTCTCCTATGCCATGAGGGTTTTCTACGGGTTCTCCAGTTTCCTCCCATGTGATTTGAGCGTTGTGAGCATAATAATGTAGTAATAATATTAAATGTAGTGGTAGTGTGTATGAGCAAAAAGTGTTCTCAATTAGTGCGAAAGCCCTAGAACAACTAGACACTTAAACAAAGATATTTATTTATTATTTTTTAAGAACACATGCAGTAAAACCATGAAATGAAAACAAAGTTGATACTGACAAATACTAGCTATTTAGTGACTAATAGTTGCTCTCACTCGACCAGAAAATTCATTACACAAAAGACACAAATATTCTCTTGTGTATTTGTCTTTATGTAATGAATGTTCTGGTTGAGTGAGAGGAACTATTAGTCATTAAATAGCTACTATTTGTCAGTATCAACTTTGTTTTTATTCATGGTTCTACTAGGGTTTTTTCTAGGATTTTTAAAAAGAAATTTAAAAAGTAAAATAAAAAGAAGTAAACATCTTTATTCATTCAATAAATTATTATAATTTATGGGCGCATGTGACTCACCCAGTGCTTCACCCTTTACCTCACCCTGTGCCTCAGCCTGTGCCCCACCCTGTGCCTCACCCTGTACCCTCACCCTGTACCCAACCCTGTTCCCCACCCTGTGCTACACCCTTTGCCTCATCCCTGTGCCCCATCACCGTGCCCCATCCCCATGCCCCACCCTGTGCCCCACCCTCCCTACGCCATTGGTTCACGAATCTTTTTCCTTTCTTCATTCGTCACATCTTTCATTCATTTTCTATTTTTCCATTCATTTAGGATGAAGAGATTGGCGGTTACATGGTTCAACAAAATGTCTCTGGTAGGCCAGTGACTGT